CGCTCCACCATTTGATTGCCCCCTTCCAAAGTAAAATTGAAATCCCCATTTCAATTCCATGGAATGTATGTTGGGGGAAATTATGAAATTATTTGCCCTAACCCTAATCCAATTGTGTAATTTCATGCCTATCGAGTGTAACCAGAAAAGGTAAGTATTGTTGAATTAATTAAGGTATATACATCTCCAATCAAAATATCATGAATTTGAATCCACATTATTGCATGGTGTTGTATTAAAAAAAAACAATAACTATAAGAAGGTATAACCGTCGGTAAAGTTGTTGTGCTTAGATGTCGTATTAATGTGCCACTTACAACTTTAGCACGACACACAAAATTAGAATCGTTCACTCACTAGGTTGAGGGAAAAAAACAGAGTTGTACATGGATATACACCAGCAGGTCAAACAAATCATTTTTTCTCTTGTAACTTTAAGACTTTGTTACATTATATAACAAAGTTGATACAATATGTACTTAATTATACTTGTTTTATAAATGCAGGAGGTTAGATCATTCAAAATATTAATAACTAGTCGATATGTTCAATATTATATTACATAGTTATGTCTAAACCAGCATTCTTACATCACTTAATCATTAGTGTCCAAATCATGTATATTGTCGATTTACGCTCCAAATCAACTTAGCCAACTATTCGACAAAATTTATTGACAATATCGTTTATCTTTCCCATCTTCTTCACACACTTATGGTAAGATACGCTTTGGAACTCGCAATCATTTTATTCCACCTTTTCTTTTTACACATATTTAGGACTTTCAAGTCCAAAACTTTTCATGAACAATTTTACAAACATGAATAATTAAGTACATGAAGTCCAATGTTTCTCATCCGATAAAACAAATTTGTTAATTTACAATTATTAAATTAATTGAATATAACTAAGCACTTAAAATATTAATAACACTTCTTATAGGTCCTAAACACACAAGCACATAAGCTATTTGTTACCTTTAAAAGTTAAATCTCCAACATAGAACTGAGAAAAAAGAAACCCCTTAAAGTCAAAAGTTTGAAAAAAAAAATCACCTGCCTCCCATTTTCCATTAGATTTTTCTCGAATAAATAATAAAGTTTTTGAAAGTTCAGGACTATTTATTAATTTTATTATTTTTGGACATGAAGTAGAAAGGGCAAAATAAATACGTCTCCAAAATTGTATATTAACTTAGGAGCTTTCTTTTTTTTACTTGGACACTAATAATTATTATATATTTATAAAATTTTGTCTCCCCGACCATGTAATTGGCATATAGCTAAAATCGAGAGGTGGTGGGTTCAAATCATCTTCCCAACATGTTGTATTAAAAAAAACTCTGACGTCGTCAAGTGATTTTGTATTTAAAAAAAATAAACTAAATAAATATATAAATAAATAAAATAAGTTTGGGCCTTGGGCCGCATGCCAAAATCCTCCAAGTTTGATCCAAAACCCTCCGAACTTCTCGATCTCGTCACCAGCGCGCGCTCTGATCGACGGTTATCTTTCGAAAGTCCGGCACTGTGGAAATGAGACCCCCTCCCTTCTTCCTGCGTCTGATGTTCTTCATCAATTTGCGGTGCTCTTCAAGCATTCCAATCCAGGTTGATTGTCTCCGGAGTATTTGCTCTTTAAATTTTGATTATGTGTATGATCGTACAAATTTGATTTTACCGAACAAGTTTCTTTTGGAACTGCTGCGAGTGGAAATCTCATCTGCAAGAGAAAATTATAATGATCGATACTCAACACTGTCGTTATTTAAACCCTAACCCCTTTTTGCGATCCTCTCTTGAGTTAATATGCTTATTGTTGTCATTTTTTTCCATTTAGGTATTGATTTCTCACGTTTTCATATTATTTCGCAGGAGTTTTGGTCTTGTACGTCATTAGTTTTTAGTAAATGCCTAATCTACCCGACATAATGGGCAACGTTGCCAGTTCGGTTGCCTCAGGATTCTTTTCAGCCGTTGGCAAACTCTTTCGATCCCCACTGGATTTTCTTTCTGGAAAATCCTGCAGGTTGGTACCATTTTTCCTGTTTCTTTTGCTATTCTCTTCAAGTGGATTCTACCCATAAACTCAATGATTTTTCGGATTTTGTCATTTTCGTTGACCTAATTTTGACGTATTCTGTGCCTTTTGATTGAATATTGTTTATCTGATTTTGTCACTGCCCACATATGCTCGCAGTTCGGTGTGTGGATCAACATGGGATTTCATATGTTACATAGAAAATTTCTGCGTCGCCAATTTGCTAAAGTTGGGCATGGTCTTGATCCTCTCATTATTTGGTGAGTGAAACAGAAAAGTTTTTTTTGTGTATCTCAGTACCTTGGTATTTATAATATGTTGGGATTTGTCTGTTTCCAATGGTTGGGAGAAGCAGCCTTACAGCTTAAAGCCTCGCATATTAAGGTCCAAAGTTATCTAATAATATAACTCAATATCTTATTAAGTATCCAACTACTCTTAGTTTGGTCAGTATAGCAAGGTCACCCTCTGGATTAGATTTGATTACATTTAATGATACACCATTAACTTCCTGAAATTGCAGGCCTGCTTCTCGTATTTACAGAACCATTTCTATTGTGAACTAATTTGATTTGGTATGGAAAAATACAATTGTTTCTTCTACATTTCGAAATGTATAATTCACATCTCTTAACTTTTTAGTTAACAAAATAAAGTTTGTGGCCATCAGCCTACGATGAAATGCCAAGGTCAATAGCTTACTGGTGCAATAGTAAAATGCCAACTAAGTTGATATGGTGTGGGAAAATGTAATGTTTCCCCTACGTTTTGAAATGTATATCCATATTTGACAACTTCTAGTTATCTGAATTAAGTTTTAGGTCATCAGCTTATGGTAAAATGCCAACATGAATTGCTTGCTGATGTAATTGTAATTAGATAGGAAATACAATCCCTTAATACTGTTATTCCTGCTGTGATTCTAAGTCATGGGCTCACACGATCAAAAGAAATTTCTTAGGAAATGGATCCAAATCCAGCTTAGATGCTTCAGTTTCAAGTGATAGTGAGAAGTTCTAGATGCTTAAAACTTAGTACAAATTATATGTACATTGTCACTTGTTTAATGCATGGAACATAAGTTCAGCACTTGAATTTGCCTTTTTTTTTCCTTTCCTTTTTTGGAATCGTATGCAGTTATTTTGCTCCTGTATTTGTTACATAAAATTGGCATCTTTGGATGCATCTGTCGGGGGCTCTGCAGAATGACGTGGACATGTATAGCTTCATACTTCTATGCATGGGATTACTGCTGCACTTTCATGTGTATCAAGCTTGGCAGTGTCAAAAGAACAAGAAGACGGCGCCATAGAAGAAGAGACCTGGAAGAAGAGTTTGAAAGTGAAGGAGGAAAACACCGGTATGGGTCATCGAGCGATTCGAGTAGTGTCCCTGAACGCATTGAGTTGAGAAGTAGTCAACGGGCATCTCGTAGATGGAGGATGAACCACAGAGGTTCTCAAATGAGAAAGGCATTGAGGCCTAAGAGTCGTGGAATTCGAGTAAGAAGCGGTCGAACATTGGTCTATGGTAAGCATAGAAGAAAATCCAGTGAGGTTGTGAATCGTTTGGGTGAGATCCATAGCCTTGGAAGGCATGGATCATCTAAGTTTGTGCATGAAGAAATAAGGTACAAAAGAGGAAGGCAGAAATGATAACAAAAGTAAGTGTTTTGAAAACTTATTTTTTTCTTTCAAAAATTGACTTAGCTTTTAAAAATATTTTTAAAAAATTAATAATAAAACAAATACTAATAAGTGAAAGTAGTAGTTGTAAACCTCATTTTTACAAAAATGGAAAATAGAAAATAAAATGGTTAAATTTGGGGCTTAATTATTATTAAGGTAAAATATTATTTTGGTACATCTACTTTCTTCGTCCATTTTAATCATTTTTTTTATATCCGTGAGTGTTCGGTTGGGTCAGCTTACTAATTTCTAAGGTAGGTGATCATCATGGGATTTGAACTCATTCTCTCTTAATTACCTTAGCCCATTTGAGACTAATGAGCCACCCATGATGGTTCTTTCTATTTTAGACTTTGATATCATAGTGTGTATGTATATTGCGTTTGTTTCAATCAAACTTTATTCTATTAATTTGGCACAAAGAGTCATAATTTGTGATTCAATTGATTAGCCAAATTTTGAAGTTAGAACAAGTTTTATAACTACAATGTAATTCAATTGGTTAATACACATGTTATCAAACTTAAAGGTGGTGGGTTTAAATCATCTACCATACTTGAAAAAAACAATGAATAAATTGGTTTATAGTTGGATTAAATTAGCAGAAATTTATGTAAAAATTAAAGTCAAAATTAGTCATTGCACTCTAACAACTTCATAATTACTTCAAGATTGAAATTGGTGTCTGTCTGCTAAGTTCTACTTAGAATGTCATTAACTTAGTGGTAGAGGAATTATTTCCACAAGATAAAGTGTGACATTTGATTTAACTTAGTATGTAAATGAATTCTTAAAGTGTCAATATTACTTTTGTTTATTAAAAAATAAATTTAAAATATGTCAATTCGAATCTAACTTAATTGATTAAGACATATATATTCGGCAAAATAGTCAGAATCCCTATGTCTCAATGAACTAAAAAACAAAAAAAACTTGAAAACTTTGCATAAATCAAACATTTGTAACTCAAGTTTTTCAACTATAGGTCATGTTGGTTTAGGTTGCAAAAATTTTCAATCACAATGATAAAATTTTCCTATAATGTCTCATCCGCGAGTCAGTCCTTTCCCATATAAGGCCGGTTCATTTTTCAAAACATTGTTTTGGAACTTAACAAAATTTCTCCAAACAAACATAAAAATGACCCATTTAAAAAAAAACGTTATATGAATAACATAGTCTTCTTTTTTTTCTTTATTTCTTTTTAAGACGAAGCAACTTAATTTAGCAGCCTCCAAACATCAGTGATGGCTGAGTTTGGTCCAAACACTCCCCTTGGAAAGAGAGGAATTTTCCTTACTTAAAAAAAATATATATATATATTCTAACCATTTATCCAATTTTCTAATTTATTTAATAATGTGTCAATTTGACAAAATTCAATCTTGTAAGTAGTGACTCGATGAACTTCCGTGATTAACGTGAATTTCTTTTTAATAATGTCGTTGAATAAGATAAAAATAATCAATTTCTTTTAAAAATTGAAGAGATGGAATATTTAATAGAATTAGATGATGGTACCATGCTTTTTAGGATGACATTACTTTCACCTTTTTATTATTTTATCCACCACAAAAATAATATGCGTGTGTCATAGACTTTAATATGATTTGTTGCCCTACTTTTTGTGTTACATTCATGCATACAATTATTATTTCTTAAGTCAAATATTTTTCCACAAAGGAAAATTATTGTACCATACTCCCATAGCCTAGCTAGTCTAGTCTAAAGTCTTCTTCTTTTTTTTCGACACAATTCTTGTATAATTCAAAGTTTTTTAAAAATAATTACTCGAAAGACAAAAATATTAATAGTATAATTTACAAACTCGCCAAATTGAATATAGCTCAACTGATTAAGGCATAAATATTCATATCAAGTTCAAATCTCCCTACCTAAAAAAAATAATAAATCACTCGATATTATCGTGTTAAATTTTGAGATGTGCTGTCCTAATGGCACATATGAATGAAAGTGGGCTAATATTAAATTATTAAGATGTAAAAAAGACACTAGTTTTATCAAATATATTCAATTTTTTAATCAATAACAAATTGATTATGCTCGTATTGATGTCTATAATACATTTTATATATTAAAATTGACAACAAACAAAATTAATAAATATTAGCTTCCAAACATACTATATCCTCACCTTCACTATTTCAGCTTATCTTTTTATTTGTACATTGTGTTTTTATCTATTTCTTATGTTTTAGATTAAAATAATAAATTCAAACTATGAAGTTGTCATGGTCAAATCTTATTGGTTCAAGTTTTGACTCCCAACTTTGATTACCTACTTTGATTGGATTGATTTGAAGAATATTCCCATATATATTACTCTTTTTCTTTCTCTTAAGAACAATAATGGAGATGGTGACCTATATATTTTTTCTAACACTAAAGTTCACATGTTACCCCTTTAATTATAGCTAGCAACAATCACGTGTAATATCACATATTAAAAATGGCGTTTAATGAATTTAATTGTATATCACATATTAAAAAACTCTTTAAAATTATTTCTAAAAAAAATCTTCAAAATTATACTAAATTTTAAATTTTGTAAAAAAAATAAAGTTAATTGATTAATTGCATTTTTTATATTAAATTTTTTATGCATTCTTTCCGTGTATTTATACAGTATCTTTTCAAATATTTATAGAATTAATGTATTTTAAATTAATTTAAAAATGATTATTTCTATTATAAAAGTATTTTTAAGATTTATTGTTACTGCAAGTCAATAATTAGAATAAAGAAGTAAACACAATAAATTACAATTTAGTATTTTCATATAAATAATATTCAAATTAAAAGAGTGAGTTTTTGTGATTCAATTATTGGATGTTGCAAACAACGATAAACTCATCGAATCACACATTCTGGATTAACTTATCTCTCAAACAAATTTATCGTTATGTTGTGTTTTATATAAACAATTATTAATCACAATCGCACCCGTATGCGAATGGACACACGATTTATTTCAACATATACCACGACTCAATAGTTACGTCCCATAGAAGTTTGAAGGAAAAAATAGGTATTAAACGTTGAGGGTAAAAGTGGAAGACAGATATTATCCTCAATTTGCCTTCAGCCGCTCGCGAGCCCCGACAGACTATGACCGGACACCCCTATTTAGAAAGAATGGTCAAAGGTTTTGTGTCTCTATATATATAGTATAGGTAAATACTATTGAAATTTGATACAAATATAAATATAACACTCCAATTAGTCAACTGGTTGATAGAATCCATATCTTTTATTGCCTATTCAAATTAAAAGATGTTGGATTTGTAAGGTGATTGCAAACGACTGTGGCTAAGGAAGGAAATGATCATGGATATATAAGAGTGGACAATTATCTCCATTGGTGTGAGGTATTTTGGGTGGAACCAAAAGCAAAATTGGGCTATGTCCAAAGCAAACAATATCTGAGGTACTCGGAGTACCGTTGTCCTCAATAAAAGATTCATATAAATAAACTTGGTTCATCCTTATCTCCCAGTCAATCTAGATTTTACCAACTAAATCTATTAAACTCGTTTCTCAATTATTTTAGGTGCTTAATTTAATATTTAAGCTTTATTTAAAATTCAAACGATTCTCATAAAAAATAAATGTTTGAATTAAGCAGATCAAATCAAGTTACAATAAAAATATTATCGTTGTTCTTTATTATTTACCTTTAACACAAAATCATATAAAAACCCAAGATATTTTTTTTTTTTTACAAAATAAAAAATAAAGCGAACATGTTATTTTAAAGAAAAAAAGAAAAAGAACATGAACCTACATATTGTGACAGGTCATTTATATTTGTACGGAATTAGTTAATTTTTAATGTCACAGACCAATAGAAGCTTGCCACGAGTACGGTAGAACTGCAGTTAAATTAGGTAGACGACAGGGAGTGTTCGTATTGAATCAGGCAGATTGTGCAGGTCACCGTCATCCCCATCACCGGCCACGTGTCAATCACGAGGATGTGGAAAAAGAGATGCTCATTTATCTCGTGGTTGATGAGGTGCTTGTGACCGCCACTTGGATGACTTTTTTTAAAATGGGTAACGTGGAGTCATCTCATTGGCCCGTTACACACAGGAATGATTTCCCGGCAAAAGACAAAAATAATGCATGTAACGGCCACCGAAAGCGAGATCGGTCGTGCCACGTAAGGCACTCACAGTTCCACGCGTTATCTCTTTCTATTTATCTATTTTTAATATTTACTTCCACGAGTTCTTGTCGTGTAAAATTAAAAAAAATAATAAATAAGATATTCTGAAAATTTGTAATTTATTACTGGAGAAACATAAATTTTGGATTAGCATCGTATTATTATTATTGAGAAAACTATATTTTATTTGGAGGTAATTATAAATTAAAATTAAAGATAAAAATGACCATTTTCAAATAATCTCAAATATCTTTCATTTGTCCATTTAAATTTGTTTTAATTCGGCGAATAAGATCATACAAAATTAAGCCCCGACTTAGTGTACAAATCCATTTGATATTATCTTAGCTCGAAACCCAAATCAACATAAGACTATTATAGTGGTAATAGGTCTAAATCCACTTAGAGAATTGAGCTGAATCCAAAATTCTCAATACCTAAATATTTTGAAACTAATTGGGCTCGTAACCCAAACAGAATCTAAATCCATGGATTGGGTCCTAATTAAAGCCTAAAACATTTAGGCTTGTGAAACCTCTATAAATACGGAGGTCTCCTTATTTTCAAATGATTGAAATTTAAGAATGGAGATAATTCACGATAAATTGAAGACTATCTCCAAGATTTGAAAACCAATTATTATAAATTAAATCCACTAACATAAAAATTTAACTTCATGATATAAAATTTCTCCATAAATATCATGTGAATAATTATTCTACAAAACAGCAAGTTATTGAAAAAATCAAATATTTTTGTTTTTGCATCATAGTACAACTTGGTTACTTAAGTTGCCGGGGAAGTAATATTGTCTTTCTAATTTACTTTTTTTTTAATCTTATATTGTTCACATTCAACCTAAAAATTACAATTAAGAATAATGAATTTCTATTGTTTTATTGTCGTTTTCTAGTTCTAAGTTCTAACACAAAATTTGAAAAGTAAGCTTAACTTAAAAAACCAATCAAAATGTACAGCGAGTATACTTAAACAAAAGTTAAAATAAAATTATATCATCGAAATGAAAGATTAATAGTTGTACTTTTGCACGCCAGAAATAATTGATACTCTATCATGCTTCATTAAAAGACGACACCAACAATATTTACAACTTTTTGTTAATAATACAGTGGCATGATTATATCTAGCCTTATCATTGATAATAATAAATAAACTATTATTTTGTATACTTTCGATTTTAAGGTAGTTTAAAATTATGTTTGTTTTATTTATATATTGTCAGTATTTATTTATTGTAATGTATCAAAACATTTATTTTAGTTTATAAGTGGAATGACTATTTTAATAAATTTATTTTTACTTTTTTCTTATTTATTTCAATCATAATTTTAATCTACTATTTCATCTACTAAATTTATTAAATATATTTATAATTTTGTGTATATTATTTTTATTGTACATACATTTTGTAATATGAATTAAATTGGTCAGCTTTAAAAAAAAAACTACAATAATTAAAATAAATAAAATTAAAAAATATGTTTTAGAAATATATCAATCAATAAAAAAGTACAAGTACAAAATTAGTATTTAAACTCGATAAATAATTTGGAACCTATCCAAAATAATAATTAAAACGGTAAGTGGTCACACATTGGACTAGGATGATGGTTGTATTACTAGAAATTTCATCCAACCTCCAGTAGCACACGAAATAAATTGTGGCCGACGTGTCATGCTAATCCATCGTTAAAACAGCCGGCCGACTCCACCCGTGATCTCGTTGTCGTACCCAACTCACGACGTGACCCGGAACACAACCCGACCCGGATGACGCAGCATGCGCTACAGTCCAAAACACATTTCGTAAGTAATGACCAAATCATGTAATCAAAAGAAAAGAAAAAGAAACAAAGAAAAAAGTAATGACCAAATCACCTCCCCCAACTGCACTGCCACGCACGCGCCCCACTTTCTAGTTCGACACGTGTCAAGCGCGGACCACGGGAAAGTTTTACCATCCACGTGTCTTCTAGAAACTGCATCGTGATGAGCCCACGTGTCCCCTTTCCTCTCTATAAAACCCACCCCCTTCTCCTGGTTCTAAGTTTCAAGCGCCGCAGAAGAAGAAAGGAGAGAGAAGGAAAAAAAATACGAAAAAGAGGGGAAACAGAGAAGATCAGATCATGGCCGCCGATTTACAGTTGCCGCCAGGATTCAGGTTCCATCCAACGGACGACGAGCTCGTGATGCATTACTTGTGTCGTAAATGCGCGTCGCAGCCGATTGCCGTGCCGATTATTGCCGAAATTGATCTCTACAAATACGATCCGTGGGACCTACCTGGTAATTCTCTATAAACTTTACAGAAATTAAATTATATTAATCGTTTTGGAGAGATTTGCAGAGTTTGATTGGCAATTTGTAAATTTTGATTTACAGGAAAGGCTTTGTATGGGGAGAAGGAGTGGTACTTCTTCTCGCCGAGGGACCGGAAGTACCCTAACGGTTCCCGGCCAAACCGGGCGGCTGGGAGTGGGTATTGGAAGGCGACAGGAGCCGATAAACCGATAGGCCGGCCGAAGCCGGTGGGGATTAAGAAGGCTTTGGTGTTCTACGCCGGAAAGGCTCCTAAGGGAGAGAAAACCAATTGGATCATGCACGAGTACCGGCTCGCAGACGTGGACCGCTCGGCTCGCAAAAAGAATAGTCTAAGGGTATATTCTAATTCTCATGCCCTATTTTATTGTTCTAGATTTTGAATTATGTTTATTATAAATCATAAAATCCTGTTTTGAAAAATTAACTAAACTACAAGTTTAAACAAAAAAATAATTAATTTCAAAATTATTTATTGATCTCTGTTTCTTTTAAAGGGAGATAAGAAAATTATTGGAATAAAAAAAAGTTAAAATTCCATTATTGGAAGGTCGGGCCTGCCGGTTGTTTTCATATGTCGGCGGGGTTGGGTCCGGCGGAAACTTCTTGATGTTGAGGTATGTCAAATTGAAATGAATTGACTTTTGTATGTGAAAAGCTGCCGTAATTAAGTAAAATTACTTCCGGAAAAAAGATTCCGTCTCATCTGATATAGACGACGAACCGTCACAGATTTCGAAGAATTTTAGCCTAAGCCTAAAATAATCGAACGGCCCTATTTTGCAGCTGGACGATTGGGTTCTCTGTCGCATATACAACAAAAAAGGCACGATCGAGAAGCAGCAACACCCCGTTCCGATGAATCGGTCGGAACTCAACACGATCGATTTCTTGGAGGAGGATCAGAAGGAGGAGAAGCCGCTAATTCTGAATGATCTGGCAGTTTCCGGCCGGATTGTGTCGCCGCCTCCGCCGTCAACCAGCGTGGTTAATGACTACATCTACTTCGATGCTTCGGATTCGATTCCTCGGCTTCACGCAGACTCGAGCTGCTCGGAGCACGTGGTGTCGTCGGAGTTCACGTGCGAGGTGCAGAGCCAGCCAAGATTGAAGGACGAGGTCGGATTTTCGTACAATTACATGGACGCTTCCATGGACAACGCATTCTGCTCGCAGTTTCAGACGGTGACCCAGATGTCGCCATTGCAGGATATGTTCATGTACCTTCAGAAACCGTTTTGAATCCAACATGTCGACTTCAATCGACGTCAATTTCTCGGTTGAAGTGCCCTTCAATCGTGCGGTGGCTCGAGACGGTGGTCGATGACTGTGCCGTGCGACGATTGCGCATAAAAAGGCCCTAATGATGAAATACAGAACCGCGACGGCGGTGGCCGAAATTGAAACCGACTTGTGTTGTATTGTATTAGAGCGATGTGCATTTTAGCACGTGTAATGGCCAATGTATATATTGTGGCAAACGTGCCACTTAATGGAGAAACCTTTTTAATGTTGTGCATGTGCTTTTGAAGTTTTTTTTAGTTCTATTATACTTACGATATTAAATTACTACAGGAAAATGAAAATTAGGAAAAGCATGTTTCGTTAATTAATTATTATTATTAAACAGATCAAATTTCATAATTAATTAAATACTTGACGATGACCTCTGATAAGGTTGATGATTCTTTGAAATACCCGAACATTTTGTACCAAGGAAAACGAAGAAATAGCAGAAAACTAATGGGCTTTCTGAAATGATCTAAGGCCCATATTTGAATCACGAAAGCCCAGTTTGTGCATGTCGAATCTTACTTCCGAAATGGGCCAAAAAGCCCAAGACTTTATACGAGCAGACAAGGGTTTTGCTCTTATGTTTCGGTGGGCCTGGGCCTTCTTGTTTGAGCTTTTTTTTTCTTTTAAATAATTTTAATGATGAAGAGGTATTTTTGAACTTTATATGGGTTATTTAAGACCAATTTTGTTGTTTATTAAGAATAGAAAGCATATTATATTATAAATATTTTTATAAAATAAAAAAAAATATAAGTGGATGATGTTATATTATAGAACAGACACAAAACTCCAAATTTTATTTGACGAATTAGCACAACCCACTCATAAATCCAAAGGACTCCAAAAACAAAAAGGAAACAAAAAGGAAAACATGGATAGATGCATGGTTTAGGGAAATTGGATGCCGTTTTGCATGGCAAGGGCTCACATTGTTGGGCCCCACTCTGTCCAATAAGATGGGGGGCACTCGACAGGACATCCCTTTCTGATAATGAAAGGGGCCTTCCCTCCCTATTGTTTGGTTTCTTCTCATTATTTTCCTCCATGTTGCTTCATTCTCTTTTGTTTCTTACCCTTCTTTTCTCTCCTAATGAATTAAAAAAAAAACTATATAGAATTATATATTGTTGGGTCTGATGATCAATTTTAAACTGAACTTTTAATTTTATCGTATTGAAATTTCGAGCTCTCAAATGAGATGGATGATGAGTTTTTCTTAAAGAAACTGGGTAAGTGGCAAAATAAACATTTCAGAATTTTAACCAAAACAAAAGAAAACATAATTTGTCCAAAAGGAAAGCCAGGCGGTGCACGTATGGGTATTGATCTTGGCTTATCTCACACCAAGTTTATAAGTCCAACCAACTTCCCAAAGGTTATTCTTCCAATGTGGGACAACAACAAGTTTTAATATTTCTCATTCGCAACAATAGTCGTAGCCGTAAACGGATACCTGTCTGAATTAGCTCTATCTATGTACGAGAAATATATAAATAATGCAACTATGAATCTCACAGAAAGGTCTTGGCTTAGAATTAACCCTCTCGCGTCCTACTTATAAATTAAAGGAAATGTTCCAAATGAGGGCTTTTTATTTTAATTTATGGTTTTATTCCATGTGGTCAAAAAGTAATTTAATATTTAGAGAATATGTTTTACTAAGGTGGATGGATGTCCAACATTGACATGTGCTGTGGGATTCTCAAAGATTCAAAATCCTAATTCAGAGATCAAAAAAAAAAAAAAAACCTGCTGATGGAGCTGTTTACATTTGTACATTCACTATCTGTACGTTGTGTCTTATTACTTTATTTATTTATATTTTTTATTATTATTACTTTATTTATTTATTTATAGCTTTGGCATGTCACATACTAGTCCACAATTTTCAATACAAGCTGGTTTCTTTAGGGAATATTTCAATGTATTGTTGATTGATAATGCTGTCTAACTATAATTAGGGGTCTAATTTAAAATGGATGAAATCAACTAAACTCGTAAAATTGAGTTACTTAAAATAGATGGATTGAAAAAGATCGATCGGCTTCAAATTGTATATTTTGATATTGATAATACGTAGAATGTTAATTGTTGCTGATATCAAATGGCTTCGTCATTTTTTAAAGTGAAGTCTCAATCTTCAAGAAAAATATCATTTATTAAGATTCTTGTCCCTCTTGGTATACAAACTTGTTATTGAGTAATAATTGAAATTTATGCATTCTATCATGATTTTGGTTTTTCTATAACTAAGCCACACAAATGTGCATTTTTATTAAAAGGAAAAAAAACTCACTATTTAAATAAAAATATATTCTTTTGTTGGTTGTCTTAATTACAGTGCAATAAGAGTTTAAAAACATATTTAACTAATGTATTGTTTAGAAATATCTCGCAACAAAAAAGTCGAAGGTTAAAATTTAACTAATAAATAAATCAATAAATAAAATTAATTAATGATGTCATGGGAAGTAAAATTAATTTGATTGGCTTGGTAATACTTTTTTTTTCCTAACAAAATAATCACATGACACGATAAAGATATATCATCAAAACAAATAATTATATAGTTTTGTAATCTCGAACGGTTTAATTGACCGTTAAAAATATGTATCTCGACAAAAAAAAAAAGTTGAAGATTCGAATTTCTTAAAAAATAGGTTTTGGAAGGTTTTTTAAATCCAATGATTTTGGTTTACATCATGGTGGTATCTCTTGAAGGGTCCACTAAATCTTGACCACATGGGTGGTTCTTACCTATGATTTCTCCTCATTTTCCCATCTCTTAATTCTTCATTTCATGGCCACAAAGTCTCTGTTTGGCCACAAAATAATTTTTTTTAGGCCACACAGAATTGTCATTACTACAAATTACTATGATTGCAAATTAATATTAAAGGACTATTTTACCTCTTCTTTTATTTCTTTGTTTTTTTAATAAAAGTAGGAAAATTTAACTTTTTTTTAAATAAAATATTAGAAAAGTTATATTTAATCATTTATAAAATATATATATAACAAGTATATAAAAGTTTAATCTAATAATCATATTTTTTTAGTCAAACAATTTGCTTTTCAAAATATAATATTTCTTGATTTTTTTTTCTGTGAACTCATTACACGCGATTACAAAATTATACATGTATATTTTTTATCGAAAAAACATGTTAAAATATACATGTATATTTATATTTTTAAATTATGTTTATCGACAAATATATTTAATAAGTGTATTTAAAAGTCAATATATTGATATATAAATAGTTAGATAGTGGTCTCGATTTGACCAAAGCATTTTAAGGCTCGTTTGTTTGTGAACTTGTTTATAATGTTATTAAAATAAAAACATATAGATTTTTTAAAACAATAATTTTAAAACAGAGGTTATAAATTAAAATGTAAAAAATAGATTTTAGAATATGTCTAAAATTTAAAGGTATTTTAAAATGTAAAACTAAAACAAAGAATAGATAAGCTCAATTTAAAAAAATAAAAAAATAAAAAACTTTAACAAGTTTTTACCTACTATATGCTTACAATGGAATGACACAATTAGCCTAGAGTAATAATTTACCTTAATTGTCCTATCTCATCTACTAAAGAAAAATGTTATCTCTAGCTCGATTTAACTCATCATATTATAGACTCATGTAAGGTCTCTTCTTTTATCAATATGGTATCATATTAATATTCATGGGGTTCTATCTTATAACCAATTGGTAGTGAGATGAGTAGTCAATGTCTATTATAAACCAATGTAAGTTCCGTTTTTTTATCAATGTGAGATTCTTAACATTCTTCACGCCAAACACGTGAAGTATCACTCTTCAATATATATATATATATATATATATATATATATATATTTATTCTTTAGATAGTAGCAATATGGTAGGTTAAATTCCAAGCAAAGTTTGTACAATATTTGTCAAGTGGAAAAAAATATATAATTTATTAGTCAATAGGGCAATTAATATGATATTATTGCATGGTGGATGTTGTACATTAAGAGTTCATTACACGCAAAGCTAATAATGCAAACGCTCCCTTAAAATTTTTTGATTGTTTATTATAATTTACAATCTTTCTTCTCCTTTAATTAATTAGGAAGTTGAATTTGGAAAGGCTCTCTACAAAAAGTTGAATTTGGAAAGATAATCAATTTTTTATATTTATGCTTTTAAATTGTAGTTTTTCTCTCCATCCCCTCCCTATTTTTGTAAATAAAAAAGGAAAAAATAACCTAGGATTTTTTTTAGTTCAACAACACTAATCGATTCAAACCTCTGACTTTTTCATCTATAATGATATTGATTATCCAACTATCAAATTTTGGTATTTGACTTATAAAGTTTTTGATACATTTATTTTATACATATTTTTTACTTTTTGGGATTCATATTCCTTTATTTTCATTATAATAAATATAAGCTATTTTAATGCTGGCATAATATGTATTAGATTTAAATATCACACGCTACAAAAGTTTTTTTTATAGACATTTTGATCATTCTTAGAGGTTAACGGTTAAATCTCTCTGAAAAATGGTCTTTAACAAGTGAAATGCATTAGGGATGACGAGAGGTAGGGTGAATTGCATTTCTTAACTACATTTGTAATCACTATTCATGCCTTGTTGTCAATTTGAGAAATTGATCGAGAAATTCTCACTTGATGATTGGAAAAAAAATATTTGTTTCATATTTATTTTTGATAAAATAGTACATTGATATTTATATTGTTTACCATTTAAAAAAAAGAAATTTAATATGTTTTTAATAAAAAAGAATGTTAAAAAATACTTGTAGTTTCTAAGTAATTATTTAGCCCACAAATTTTAGTTTGTAATAATTTAGTTTTTGTACTTTCAAATCGATAAGAATAGTACTTGAACTTTAATATGTAACAATTCAAGAAAAATCTCATCAAAATTTGAATTTTATTTTGCAACAATTTAAGCTTCGTAGTTTATAAACACATTTAATCTATCATTATTTATCGACCTACATATACAAACAACCTCATTAAATACTAACAATATTTTTTACGACGTTCTCAAATATATATACATATATATATATATATGTGTTTTTCATGATTGAGATTAGATTGTTATAAATTTTAAACTACAATTATTACGTACTAAAATTTAAAAATTAAGACGTCATAAATTAAAAAATTATATAAATTAAATGGTTTCTTGAAAATAAAAGAACACAAAAC